AAAGCCTGAGCTAAAGATAAAACTGTGAGCCAGATAAGTTTGAAAAGACAGTCAACCTACTACTTTCAAATTTTAGATAATTTGGTAAACTCAACTTTGTCCTCTAAGTAGAAAAGCCATAAAGAGATCCAGCCAAGAAGCAGACTTTAAATCTATCTACACTGCCAAGATCTCATAAATACGACTCAAACTTCCCCATGATAGATATAATTAAAAGGGAAAATGGCAAAATGTCCAGACCAGACTCGATACTTTTTCTGAATAACAAAAAGAGAAATGCTCCGAAATATCCCTAACTCAAAATAGTCTGTGATGCCAAATATTACAAGACTCAATTATCATAGACAGTGATTGATAAATCTTTGGATGATATGGAACTGAGAAAAGCCTATGGCTTGATTATATGCTCAGATACAACTAAAATAAGCAAAAGCTTTTTCTTTAATAACTAGAAGCATAAAGACAACTTATCTATCCTAAAACTAAAACCTAGTGAGAAACCAGATGATGATCTACTCTAAAAATTGGTATTCCCAAGTGAAATCAAGAAGATAATGCCTGAATATTTGAATTAGCATAACATTAAGGCTATCTAGTAACAATTAGAAAAAATTTTATAGAACTACAGAATGCAGATTAAAGAGTACAACAATAGAGAGATATTTGGTAAGGGTCTAGATGATATGAATTTGAAATACAGTTAAGAGACTAACCTTTCTAAAACGTTTTAAGAAGAGTGCAAAGGTCCTTCTAAGTCCTATCAAAGTCGTTTTGAGCAAGAATAATTGGAAAGTGGTAAGAATATGGGCAGATCTAGTAGCTTGATAGATCTATGTGATGCGATAAATAAGATATACTTGCAAGATGATGACTCGAAAGTGGACTAAATTAATCAATAAAATCTGAACCAAATTAACCCAGAAGTTGTAGAGATGAGTCAAGAGTAGCTGCAATACTAATAAAAATTATCACAAAAAATAACATAAAGTTAAGCTATCTCGGACAATCTTAACACTCAAGCCATTAGCAAATTGGAACTTATAGCTTAACAAATTGAAGGCAAAAGTATTGATCAAATGCGCTAAATATTTAATAATCATTAAATCTAACTTACAAAGGATGGTAAACTCGACAGAAGAAGAAAAGAAAATAAATTATTGGGAGAATACTTGAATACCAAAGGTATTTTTGAATTCTCTAGCTTGCCTGGACAATCATAGCAATCCATTTCTCAATAATCATATGCCATGCAAAGCTAGTTCTCTACATAGTAGGAACGAAATTCATAGTAAATAGGTGGATTAAGCTTTTCATAACCATAAAAATAAGTGACAATGAGCACCTGCAATACCTAGCTTTCACAAACATCATCTATGACTGAAAAAGGCAATTCTAGAACAATCTTCTTTAAGGGACAGCAGATTCCAGCTACAACCAGTGGAAAACCAGACATGAGACACAAATTGTGCAAATAGCTCAGAGATACTGATAATGACTTCAAGCAGTTATTAAATTGACTCTAAATGCTTAAGAACTTCAATCATTTAATCGATTAAGTTCATTATATTAATTTCTTAAGAAATAATATTAAAAAACTATTTTATTGCCATTCAAATTCAGATGTAGTATTATGGGGTTTTGGGGTTTTGGGG